GGAACCCGAAGATGCCAGGAGGCCTTTGGCTGGCCTGCTCTCTCCTCAGGCTAAAGGCTCGGGTGTGCTAAGTGGGCCCCGCCCTCCTCCCACCCTCTGCTCGCAGGTGTTTGCCTGGAGTCAGGCTCTTCACTGGGCAGGGGAGACTCCAGCGTGCTGGAGCACAGCTTACTGGCCCACTAGAACAGAGCTTGGCCCCAGGCCAGCAGGGGAGCCCAGTGCGGCAGGGAAGGGTGAGTTTCTGCGGCTGGCTGGGCGTGGAGCCTGACCCTGTCGTTCGTGGCACGGACCAGCCCTGTCAGGTTCTCCAGCTTCGAGGAGCGTGTGACGGGTGTGTCTGAGCCCCAGGAGGCACACGGTGGAAGTGGTGTTCTTTGCACACGCCTGCTTCTCTCTGCCCACTGAGTTGGTCATAGCAAGGGCCTCAGGTGCTGCCCACTCCCAGGTCCCAGGCTGCTGGCCCCCACTGCTGCCGTCCCTGCAAGGGGTTGGCGGGCTGGGCGTGCCCCAGGCAGCTGGCACTGCACTTTGCACCAGCTTCTGGCATTTATGGCCAATAACACAACAGGGTCAGAGGGCAGAACGAGGACTTGGCTGGCGGGAGGAAGTGGGGCTCAGCAGCCTCCCCTGATAACCAGTGCTGGGGCAGTCAGCAAGCCAAAGGGCCCTGGGCCTGGAACCAGCCACTGCCCGTGCAGGCTTAGCTCAGGAGTCACCACGACACCCAGCCACTGGCTCTCTCTGGCCCAGGACTTTGCTCTCGGCTCCCTGTGAGCTGCTTTCCACCGAAGGGGCAGAGCAGGGCTGCCGGGTTCCCCGTCCTACTCCAGCAGGCTTGGGATCCATCACTGAGATGGACAAAGGACCTGATCCAGAGGACAGACCACTGGCTGCCCTACCTTGGGGCAAGAATCAGTCCTGGGGTTCCCACCAGTGCAGGCATGTGGAAGGAAAATAATAGGACGGTGGACGACAATGGAGAGAGCCTGGGACAGAGGTGAGGGATGGAGCCACCTAGTGGTCAGGCTGGAGCACTGCAAGACGAGCCTCCGGGCAGGGCAGGGTTAGCAGCGCCTGCCCTGTGCCAGCACAGCCAGGTGAGAGTTGAAAGCACCTGACCTCCTAACCCAGATCAGTCAGAATCTCCAGCAGGCACCAGGGACAGGCCACTCAGGGCTTTGTGATTGGAGCGTCCTGGATGGAGAGGGGGTGCTGTGTGATGTCACTGGAGCTAGGCAGAGGGGCACCAGGGAGACCCTAGCAGACAGCTGCCAGTTCCTTAGCCTCACTTGGGTCCCAGCCCCAGACTGGGGACGTAGGGCCAGAGCCCGCACAGCCCCCCATCACAGACTCCCTGTCCCCGTCCTCCTGAGCACCGCCGTCAGAGCGACAGACATGACCAGGAAACTGGCTTTTTAATAAGGACGCTGCATGCCATGGCAGCAGGGAAGGGAGTGTCACGGGGGTGGAGGGAAGGTGCTCCCACTGTCTCCCCGCTCAGCTCACTAGGCTCCAGGTGGCCCGGAGCCCCGGGCACTTTGCTGCGGGCTGGAAACCCTTCCTGCTGGGCGGGGTTTGCACACACTCGTGTTCTCAGTCCCGTGTCTGTTCAACCCCAGCTCCAGAGGAGGGTGTGCAGGCTGGAGGGAAGAGGTGGGGCAGGGAGGGTGAGTGCGGTGGAGGAAGGAGCCCAGAGTCTGGAGCAGGAGCCCGGGCACGGTGCAGCAAGTCAGCCTGCAGGGACAAAGGCGGAGGCTGTAGTTCCCAGTGACCTGCCTGAGGTTTAGGAGCCCCTCATTCACCCACAGCACAGGCAGGCCCTGTGGCCTGATCAGCAGCCTAGGGGCTCCTAGAAGCCTCTGCCCAGCCCAGGGCTCAGGCTCCCCCACGCTGCTCTTGCCCAGCCCTGCCGTAGTCCTCCGAGGCTGGTCACCCCGCCTGTGTCTCCCTGCACCTCAGCCCTTCCTCTTTACTAACTCACTGGCCTGGCACTTCTTCAGAGAGCTGTTCCCCTCCTGGGAGGACCCCTGCTGCCTGCGGCCCTGTCCATCCCATCGCATGGCCCCTCTGTGGAGGGCTGAGGTGGTCTAAGGTACTGCGTCGGGTTCCTCCAGGTATTCCCTCGAGGACAGAGGATGGGAGGGCTCATCGCTGAGTGGCACCTCCCCAGGGGCAGGGATCGACTGCTGTCCTTTCCGGGGCACACACATAGAGGACAGCGCAGAAGGTATTTCAGCAAGCTCGGGTTTCCGAAAGAGCTGCCAGGACCTCAGGGGCCTTCCAGTCCGGTGTTTCTAAACTCGCGTGCATCACAGCCCTGTAGAGGGCGGCCCCACACACGGGGCTTCTGGTTCAGTGGTTCACGCCCGAGAGGATGCAGAGGTGGCTGGTCCCAGGAACATACTAGGAGAGCTGCTGGTCTAGTACAACCCCAGTTTTATAGATGAGGGGAACCTAAAGGGCCCCGAAGGAGAGACGATGTGCCCAGAGTCCCAGGGTCATTCGTGCGTGACTCCCTGCACCCCGTGGGCAGGGCTTCAGCCCTCACCCTGGAGTCCCTGATCGTCCCGTAGACTCCGATGGACCCAGAGGAGAGGGGGGTGGCCTCTAGGTACCTCTACTGTGAGGTCGGAGACTTGGCGGCATCGAACATCTTCTTCCGGCCCTCCATCCCAGACATGGCCTCCACGTTCTTCCTCCAGTCGCCCACCTCCACGGGCCGCTCCTGTGGGCAGGCCACACACATCAGAGACTCACCTGGCAGGAGGGGCAGCCAGGGTTCCCAACCCCCACCTCAAGAGAAATTGGAAATCAGCTTCTCAAAACGCTAGGAAACCCCGTGGGACACTCCTGCCCACCGGTAAGGCCAGGGACTCAGCTAGACAGGTGCGCGGGCCACACTAGCCCCCAGGAAGCAGGAGGCTGTGTGCATTGGAGTCCTGGGTGACTGTGGTGGTAACAGGGCCCGCTCCACAGCCTCACCTCACCTCTAGGCCCATGCCACCCTCCTGGTCTGATGCTCTGCAGCTCAAGGCCACCTCCTCCAAGAAGCCTTCCCTACTAATCCAGCTTTTTCCCAGCTCATCAGTATACTACCTGGCCCAGCTTCTTGGGCCAGACCATGTCCTGGCACCCTGTTCCTCACGGGTCCCAGAGACACCGTGCGCATGTGCTGAGTTCGGTTAACTTGGGGTGACGTGTTGCTGTGATTCAACGCAGGTCTCTAATATCTTCTGCGTCCCTATAACCACAATAAGGCACCGTCTCCCTTCTCTGTGGTGACAGAGGCATTGTCTCCCCGTCACCCCGAACACGTTTTCACATGCAGCATGGATTAATACTTTAGTTCTCAGTCCGGCTTTCTCTGAACCCGTTTCCTCCTCAGAGCAGCCTGAAGGAAGGAAGAGAATCTTTTTCCTTCTGGCATGGCCTCCCAGGGGCTCTAGAATGTTCTGACAGGCAGCCTGGACTCAGCAGGTGCGGCCAGGCCTGCCCCAGGCTGTGTGAGGGTGACAGGAAGGCCTGGCTGGGCAGAGGTAGGCAGTTCCAGGGAGGGGGCCTCACCTTCTCCGTGTCTTCCTTTTTCACAGACTTGAGGTTGGCCCGCAGGTCCATGGACACTTTGTGCTTGGAGCCCAGGAGGGCCCGCAGCATGGCGTCAGCTGAAACGCGGACCCGACGCAGGGGCGGGCGCTTGAACTTCCCACGGAGGTCGAGCACCTTCAGCTTCAGGTCCTTAATCTGCAGGCAAGAAGGGGCCAGGGCTCACCGGGAGGGAGCTAGCCATGAGGCCCTTCCTGAGGCTCTGGGCCACCAGGGTTCCAGCCAGAGCTACACCCAAACCCTCCGGCCTCTAGGCCAGACCCCCAGGACACTCACACCCACCCTTTGCAAAAAGCCACAACCACGTGCTGATAAATGGATGAAGCATTTGGAGAAAACCCTCACTGTGGCCTGAGTGACAGGGTGGCTCCACCAGGCTCAGACCGTGTCTGGAGAGAGGCTGCTTCCTCTGCCCCTGCAGCCTCTAGCCAGCTTCTAGCAAGTCACTCCCCAGTGAGCCCGCAAAGCTGCTCACAGCCCTGGCCCAGAAGGTCAAGTAAACCTGCGTCCTGGACCTCTGGAAGAATTTCCGGAAAATGCTCCCTTGGGAGAACTCTTGGGTGCTTATTGACCTGGCAGATCATTGTCCCCGGGGGCTGTGGGGAGCAGGGAGGTGCCTGTGCTCCTCCGGCCCTGCTTTCACTGTCTGGACAGAGGCCCGAGAGCTGCCCTCGCTTCCTGCTCTCCCCGCCCATTGGAGCAGGACTGGACCCCTTGAACGCCCACGCCCAGAGAGCGCTGAGCTCTGAGTGGGAGCCAGAGACCACCTCTGGGTGACCTCGGCCGAGCCCTTGGCCTCTCTGTGCCTGTGTTGTCATCCATAAGGCACCCAGCAGCCACCGTCCCACCCGCAGCATGCAGGGGGGATCAAGGGATGGGGGCACATGAAAGCACTTGGCAAGGCAAGATGTCACTAGCCGTTGCTGGGTGAGCGGTGTGGGTGAACAGGAGCCCTTGGCGGGAGGGAGGGCATTTGTGGACTTCGTGTGTGATTCCCCTCTCTGCCCGTCTCCAGCCTGACTGGGCTGGGGTGGAGGGGACCAGAGCGCCCTGCCCAGTGGCCACCTCCCAGGCCCTGCAGGGGCTCCTGTAGCCACATCAGACCCTAGTTGCGGCGCCCCGCCTCAGCCTCACCTCTCTGGTGTTGTGCAGGCACTTGGCCTCGATGTCGTACCGCTCCTCGTCCACCACCTCCACCTTGGCATGCAGCTCCCGGCACAGGTCCTGCGGGGGCAGGTGGGGCATGTCCGTCAGGCGGGAGACAGCAAGCAGGTTGATTGGCAGGGAGGGATCCCTCAGGTGGAAGGGGAAGAGCCATCAGCCTCCAGCCTCCCTTTCCTGCCTCCCAGCCAGCACCTTAGGCCCTCTCCCCAGGTCCTCTCCCCAGCCCCTTGCAAATCCCGGGTTCTGGGCAGGAGATGGGACAGACTCCTTCACCCTGAGGCTCGGGAAGTGCCCTTTGTAAAAGCACTTTGTTTATTCCTATCTGTGAATGCTTGTTTTTGTTTTGTTTTGTTTTGTTTTGTGGATTTTTTTTTTTTGAGAGGTTTTTCCTATAGAACACATGTGCTCTCCAGAAAGACAGAGAGAGACAGAGAGACAGAAAGCGAGAAATCACCCTCCAGGGGGATGGCCATGCCACAATCCCTTCACCTCCATTCTCCTCTCGGGATGTTGGGCACGCACGCACACACACCTGGTGTGAGTTTAAACCACTGAATCCAGGACTCGAACCGCGGTCAACTACATGGGAGGCCAGCGACATAGCCATTATGCTAACTGCTGGTCCCAAATACTTATTTTCTTAAGAAATGGTTTTCTGGGACCAGCAGATGGCATAATGGTTACATCACTCGACTCCCACATAGTTGACCACAATTCAAGTCCCGGACCCGGCGGCTTAAAACTCACACAGGGTGTGTGTGCGTGCATGCCCCAAATCCCAAGAAGAGCATGCAGGAGAAGGGATTGCAGCATGGCCATCCTCCCTGGGGGGTGATTTCTCGCTTTCTGTCTCTCTGTCTCTCTGTCTCTCGGGCAAGCTTGTGCGCCCAATAGCAAAAGCCTCTCTCTCAAAGAAAAAGAAAAAAGAAATGGTTTTCTTATGATAAAAAAGCAATCTTGATCTAGTGTAGGAATTTTGATAACTAGGTAATAAACAAACACAATAAATGAATAGTAACTAGTACGCCCGCGACCTGGAAGAGACCACTGGCGATGTTTCGCTTTCTCTCCTTCCAGTCTCTTCTCAGCGACCACTGGCATTTGAGCACTTACCCGTGTTTTACAAACGTTAGAGACCGGCATCAGGGGAAGGGCGGGCAAGTCTCTGGAGACAGCCTTCCCCTGTCCTGGGCCCCAGCTCCAGCTATGGCACTGACTGGTATGCTGAAGCTGGTCCCTGCCTTGGCTCCACCTGTGCCAGTCACTGGCCCCTCAGCACCCACTTGCCCTGCCTGTAAGATGGGATCCGACATGACCACCTCCCAGGCAGTCACACAGTGGCACGAGCCCGTGGGACCGTGGGAGGGAAGAACCCACGGGAACTCAGCCGCTGCCCTGCCGGGCTCACCTGCAGGGCGCTGAGGGACAGGCCGCGCGTCTGCAGCGAGGGGATGCGCTCCGCCAGGTAGCGTGCCTTCTCAGCCTCGCGCTCCTCGTGCTCCTGCTCCCAGCACTCCTTGGCCTTGGCCAGCATCAGGCTCTGGACAGGACAAAGGGCTGAGCCAGGCCGGGCCTTCGCGTTCCCCGCCCGGCCTCAGGGAGTGCGCGAGAGGTAGACGGGGCCAGGCGGGGCCAGCTCTGACTCAGGTCCCTTGGAGAGGAAGCATGCATGGGGCTGTGGGCAGGCGGGTGTGAGGACGCTCCCAGCGGCCAGGTCTCCCTCACAGTCTCTCATGCCCCCTCTGTCTGCTTTGGTCCACAGAGCTCCACAGAGAGAAGCACGAACCAAAATAAAGCGAGCCCCTCTGCCCCCACGAGTAGGCTCCCCCTGGAGCTGTCGCCGCCTCCTCTCAGGACCCCAAGACGTGCCAGGGTCCACATTTGAGGCTCCCACCACCCACTTCCTGAGCCAGCCATAGCTCCATAATGCCCCCTCCTTCCCGGCTCTGGTGTCCTCCCTTACCCTCCCAGGGCCCCCACACCCCCTGGAGCCTGGCACCCCTGCCCCCCGCCGGACATGGCCCGAGCCAGCACCAACCTCACCTTCAGCATGAGTTTGCGGGAGGCGGTAATCTTGGATTTTCTCTGAGAACAAGAAGGAAGAGAGGTGAGGGGGAGGCTGCCTGGAACCTGGTCCAGGCCAGGGTTAGTGCCAGCGGCATTTACCATCCCTACCCACGATCCTCTGCTGCCTTAGTGTCTGTTCTCTCTCTCTCTCTTTTTTTTTTTACAATATTTTTTTAAATTGTATTCATTTATTTATTCGTTAGTTTATTTCAATTGGACCAGAGAGGGACAAAGAGAGAGAGAGAAGGAAAGCAAGCCGCCAGGTCCAGGACTCAAACCGCAGTCGGCCATGTGAGAATCCGGCGCTTTTAACCACCACGCCACCTGCTGGCCCTGCCTTAGTGTCTCTTAAAGGCTCATCTCGGGACCAGCAGGTGGTGTGGAGGCTAAGGCTACTGGATCTTGGGGCTGGTGGGTGGCATGTGGTTAAAGACACTGGACTCCCACATGGCCAACCATGGTTCAAGTCCTAGACCTGGTGGCTTGCTTTCTCACTTTCCCTCTCTCTGATCAAACTGGAAAATAATAATAATAATATTTATTTTTTAAAAGTTAACAAAAAAAAGTTACTGGCTCTCACATGGTGAACTGCACAGTTCAAGTCCTGGACCTGGCGGTTCACATGCTGGTCCCAGGTACACATGTGCCCAAAATCCCAAGAGGAGAATGAAGAGAAGGAATTGTAGCACGGCCATCCTCTCTCCTTCCCTCTCTCTGTCTCTCTGTCTTTCTGGAAATCACCTGTCTATCTCTCTGGTGATCGCCCACACTCTATAGCAAAAATTTTAAAAAATAAAATAAAAAAATAAAAGCTCATCTTGGTGATTTAGCCCCTCCAATTCAGAGCCCACTGCAGCCAGCCCCTTTGACCGGGGGCTGAAGCCCTCATTTTCCATTCTGGTGCTGCTGCCGGCATCCTGCAAGGTGCTGTATGGGATCACACCCTGGGAAGGTTTTACTGCAGTCTTGGTTCCCCACCATTGGAGAGCTAACAGCCACATCTTCTGACCATCAGTCAAGGGGACTCACTTTAATATGAGCCTCAGCAAGATAGAAACTCATTGGAAAGGTACATATTCAGTTCTCACCAAGGCTCTCCAGGCCAAACGTCCCCTCCATCAGCGTGGCAAATCCCCCCAGCCACCCCTGAGTCCTCAGCCCTGTCCCTGCACCCACACACACACACTCTGGCTGTACACGGGGATGTGTGAGGGGCAGCCAGAGTCAGGGTTATCTCAGGCCGGAGGAGAATCCAGGGTGTCAACATCTGGTCTTTGGGCGAGGGTAGAATAACCTGTGGCTGCCCTCCCCTGACCCTGGCTTTGCACAGGACTTTGCAAGGAATAGGGTGGTCCCCCAGAGCCGAACGAGCTCTCAGAGCAGGTGAGGGATAGCTTGAGCTCAGTGAGAGTGTGGCGTCATACCCAGCCCTGGGACCACCTTCCAGTGACACTATGAATGGGGCCCCAGCTCCCTGAGACCTGGGAAGTCCCACAGTCAGAATCTCATTCAAGGCTTTTATCCCCAGAATCCCCCACCTCCGGGGCCTTGACCCAAACTCTGTCCTCCCCACCGATGCCCACCCCACTTTCACCAGTCAGAAGCATTCACCAGGACAGGGACACCCCAAAGAGGCTTACCTCGCTTCAGGCATCCATCACGGGAGGAGGGAAAGGGCAGAATACAAAGTAAGTGTGAGCAGCGAGTTAGAGACCCAGCGGGGCCGACTCAGGGAGGAGGGCAGGTGACCGTCATGTGGAAAGAAATCAGGCACCAGTTAGAGACAGTACAGGGCACCCTTACTATGGAGTACCAGGTATCCTTATTGGGAGGTACTGGGCGTCCTTACTGGGAGAACAGGGCATCCTTACTGGGAGGTACTGGGCATCCTTACTGAGAAGTACTGGACATCCTTACTGGGAGAACTGGGCATCCTTACTGTGGGGTACTAAACATCTTTACTGGGAAGTACTGGCTCCTTACTGGGGGGTATGGAGCACCTCTAATGGGGGGTACTGGACAACCTTACTGGGAGGAAATGGAGCATCCCTACTGGGAATTACTGGCATCCCTACTGGGGGGTACCGGGTGTCCTTGCTGGGGAGTACTGGGTGTCCCTACTGGGGGGTACTGGGTGTCCTTACTGGAAGTACTAGATGTCCTTACTGGGAGGTACTGGGCATCCTTACTGGGAGGTACTGGGCATCCTTACTGGGAGTACTGGGCACCCCTACTGGGAGCAATGGGCATCCCTACTGGGAGGTACTGGACGTCCTTACTGGGAGGTACTGGGCATCCTTACTGGGAGTACTGGGGACCCCTACTGGGAGCACTGGGCATCCCTACTGGGAGTACTGGGCATCCTTACTGGGAGTACTGGGCACCCCTACTGGGAGCAATGGGCATCCCTACTGGGAGGTACTGGACGTCCTTACTGGGAGGTACTGGGCATCCCTACTGGGAGGTACTGGACGTCCTTACTGGGAGGTACTGGGCATCCCTACTGGGAGGTACTGGACGTCCTTACTGGGAGGTACTGGGCATCCCTACTGGGAGGTACTGGACGTCCTTACTGGGAGGTACTGGGCATCCCTACTGGGAGGTACTGGACGTCCTTACTGGGAGGTACTGGGCATCCCTACTGGGAGGTACTGGACGTCCTTACTGGGAGGTACTGGGCATCCCTACTGGGAGGTACTGGACGTCCTTACTGGGAGGTACTGGGCATCCCTACTGGGAGGTACTGGACGTCCTTACTGGGAGGTACTGGGCATCCCTACTGGGAGGTACTGGACGTCCTTACTGGGAGGTACTGGGCATCCCTACTGGGAGGTACTGGACGTCCTTACTGGGAGGTACTGGGCATCCCTACTGGGAGGTACTGGACGTCCTTACTGGGAGGTACTGGGCATCCCTACTGGGCGTACTGGGCGTCCTTACTTGGAGGTACTGGGCATCCCTACTGGGAGGTACTGGGCATCCCTACTGGGAGTACTGGGCTTCATTACTGGGAGGTACTGGGCATCCTTACTGGGAGGTATTGGGCATCCTTACTGGGAGTACTGGGCATCATTACTGGGAGGTACTGGGCTTCGTTAGTGGGAGGTACTGGGCACCCCTACTGGGAGTACTTGGCATCCCTACTGGGAGTTACTGGGCACCCCTACTGGGAGTACTGGGCTTTGTGAGTTGGGAAGGAGTGGTGGGAGGTTGGGGAGCCTGGACGTTGGTTCTAGGAGCGTGAAAGCGGTCATCCCTGTGCTGTGGATACATTCCCAGGGCCTTGTTCGTTTCCTGGGCCACCGTGACACCAAAGCCTGGCACGTGCAATCCTTCCGCTCAGCACAGACGGGGGGGATTCTGAAAATCAGGTCTTGCCGGTGACTGAGTGTGAGTTGTGCTTAAAGTCCGGGAGGACTCGTGGCTCTGGGAAAGCCGTCACAAGAGGATCTGGCACTCAGGGCTGTCCTGTTCTAGGAGTTCGTCACCCAAGGAGCTGAGGGGTGAGCGAGGTGGCGCCTCCACAGTGGGGCTGAAGTCCACGGCAAAGGTGCTCGCCTGCCTGGGGCCCTGGGTGGGGGCTACTTACACTTCCGGCATGGTGGCGTTCGGTGGCACCTGAGGACACAGAGGAATCACGAGTGAGAGTTGCCACTCCTGCCCGCACCCCACTACCCCACTGGGCCTTGGGATTTGTTCAGCAGCCCAGCCTGGGGGAGAGCAGATCACAGAAGTGGAACACCGACCCAGGCCTCAGCAGGCAGGACGGGAAAGGGCATTGGGCAGCACTGCGAGGACCCCTTCCCTGCCCGCCAGGCCGAACCGGACACAGCTCACGGAATACCAGACACACCTCGTGCGACCTGCAAGGCCTAGCACACTGACTAGCTGGCCCTGCCCAAGAAAAGCTTGCCAACCTGTGGGGACCTGGCTGAAGCATGGGAAATGCGGAAACATGGTTGGAAAGTGAGAGCAGAACTCACTTCTGTGGCTTGGACAAACTGAGCTCAGACTTAGACCTGTGGTGAAGGGCTGGTCACTCAAGGGCTCCCAGAGTACATGTGACAGGTGAATGCAGCAGAGGGGAAGCCGGGGATGCGGGGAGTCGCCACTTAGCACTACTCCAGGGGGCGCCATCCCCACATCGTGCACTGCAGCTGTGCCCAGGGGTGCTACACAAGCACATCGATGGCGATGTGCCCCACCCCCCGTGGGGTAGGGCAGGGCGAGGCCCTGAATGGACAGGGCAGCCAGGAGGCAGGGCAAGCCCTGTGTTCCCCTCTGGACTGTCCTTACCCTCTCTGCAAAATTAGAGGCTAGACAGTGTTTTCCATTTAAAATTCTTGAACTCTTTGTTCAAACAAAATCTTTTTTAAAAAAAAATTATTATTTTATTTAATTTTATTTATTATTATTTTTCAACTTCACCAGAGAGAGAGAGGGAAAGTAAGAAAGCAAGCCACCAGGTCTAGGACTTGAACACAGTCGGCCATGTAGGAGTCCAGCACCTCAACCATCACACCACCAGCCAGCCCCTCAAACAAAATCTTACACAGAAGCAAAACAAATGGAAGGAGACCAGGATGACACTGGTTGAAAGGTTACCCCGGGAGCCCCATGGCCCTCTGTGAGGACACTTGGCCGCGGAGCACAGTGAAGGCCCTGGCCAGGTGGTTCTGGGGACCCAGGCCAACGAGGGGGTCTTTGGGGCTGCAGAAGCAGAAGTTCCAAACCAGACCTGACTCGCCATCTTGCCTACACTGGACCAAGAGCAGTTCAGTGGGGTAGGGCGGGGGCAGGGGAAGGATGGGGACACTTGGGGCCAGAAACAGGTGTACAAGGTTGGACAGGACCCCTGAGCTGGGTCATGAGGTGAGGAATGGGGAGACCAGTGTGTGTGTGGAGGGGGGCAGGGAGCTCAGGGTCAGGAGCCTGGTTTGGGGCTGGTTCCGTGGCACAGTGGTAATGCGCTGCTTAAAAGTAGTTGGATCACACGTGGTGACTGACCATGGTTCAAATCCCTGGCCTGGTCAGCCTGAAATACACCAGCTCCCCTGCAAATGCCCGAGATCCAACGGGCTGGAGAACTGAAGGAAGATCAGTGTGACCAGGCCCCATGGAGGGTGCCCCTTTCTCTCTCCTCATCTCTACTTCATGACTAAAGGAAAGACAGAGGAGACCAGGTTCAGAGCAGGGAGGGCAGATTCTAACGATGTTGCACAGTGCCCCCCAATCGCTCCATTCCAGAGCCACCCCCGTTCCACCCGAGTTCGCTCCCTGCCTCCTGTACCCAGGAACCATCCTCCCAACCACCTCTCCTGACCTCCCACCCTGTCAGAAAGCCTCTGGGCCCCCACCGTGCCTCTGCCACCAGGGAAGAGGAGGAGGTGCGGGGCGGGGGGCAGGAGGTGGGGAGTGTGACCCCAGTCCCAGCTGTCACCCTGCGGCACAGAGGCAGAGGTGTGGAGACAGTCCGTGAATTCCAGAGTTGCTGGGCCGAAATTAGCCTTTAGGGCAGCTGTTCACTCTGCAGGCTCTGCCCCTCCAAAGACCCAGACCAAGTCCAGAGGAAAGCCTAGCTGTGAAGACCCACCCAGGTCCGTCTGTCCACCATAACCGCCCTCGAGGAATGGCAGCCTCTGGAGGGCACCAGGTGTCAGCCGCATAGGTTTCAGGTCTATCCCCCTGGGATCGCCTTGCCGCCGGAGGGCATTCAGCCATCAGGCCTCCCTTTTCCCCTGGAAGCGCATGGTCGACATGAACCTACCTGCGAAGGCCAGCCCTGCCAGCTCTGGGGCATGGCCCCACAGCCTGCCCCACTGACAAATGCCAGGCCTGAGGCCCCAGCCTGTGCTCTGACATCCCCCAGACGGACCCCTTGACAGGCCCCAGGGAAGACAGGCAGGGGCCTGATAAGAAGTCAGGATGTAGATAGCGCAGGGAGAGGCTGGAGGCCCGCATTCCATCGCCCACAAACAGCGGCAGGAGACAACTAGAAAGTCCACAGGGGCAAGAACCCACTGGCTGCCTCGGGCCGGCTTTCCCTTCCCTGAAGCCCCGGCAGGTGGGAAAGAGATCGCGGCTGGGTGTGAGAGTGCGTGTGTGGGGGGCAGTGTGCAAAGGAGCTGGTCTCTGTACACCTCACTCTCAGGACCCAAACACCTAGTTAGGCTCGTGCCCTCCCTGCTCCCTGCCCCAACCTTGGACCCAGCTCGAGGGCATCCCTTCTTCCTTCCCTGGCTGTGAACAGGGCTGTGCTACTCCATCTTGGGCTCTCATCAGGAAGCGGAATCTCAGAACCACCATGTGACTTCCAGACCTGAAGGCAGGAGCTGGCGTTAGCCCCCAGCCCCAACAGGGACTCCAGCGCCCTGGCCCAGCCACGGATCCACTGTTGCCACTGCCTGGCTCATGTGTCCACAGGCACCTGTGTCCCAGCCCTAAAGGCCACGCCAGCTGCTTCTCCCCCAGAAGACCCCCGACAAGGAGTTCTACTCCAGAGCGGGAGTGCTGAACCGAGTTGGCACTCTGCCCACCAGCGCCTGTCCTACTGTGCAGATGGGGCTCAGAGAACCCCCAAAGACAAAGAACAAAGAAGAAGGGGGCTTCCTGGGTCAGTGGGGTACTCTGGTCCCGCTCTGTGGGCTCCCTAGAGTCCTGCAGGCCTCATTCACCATGGCTGCTCCCCCGCTCCCCCAAACCCATGCACAGCCCCTCTGCCCACTCTCCGGTCCCCAGCGCTGCCCCCTGCCCCAGGTGCCTCCTCCCTCCTGCAACCTGGTGGGCAGCGGTGAAAGCCCAGTGCACTTGGCTCTAGTGGAGCCTAGTGGGAAATCCTCTCCTCACTCCCGGCCTCCAGGCAGCCAGGGAAAGCCTGTGCCTCCCACGGCAGTTTTGCAGAGATGCTGTGCTACGGCCGAAACGCCACGGGTGTATTTTAGGAACGTTCTACCAATGAGCTCAACTGTATGGGCAAGGAGTATCTCCCTTCTCCAAGAGCTCACATTCTCCTAAAACAAAAGCCCCAGGTTCTCTGGCCGGGGTGGACATCAGTCTGAAGCCCTAGGCTGTGGACGGACACGTACCTGCTGCAGTCCCACGGGAGCTGGCCTGGCCTGTGTCTCGCCGGGGATGGCAGACTGTGAGGGCCGGAGCCGAGGGGAGGCTATGAAAACTGTGGCCTGCAGCAACTGGCCAGTAAAAATAGCCCAGATCGGGGCCCCTCCTCCCCACCCCCTCACCACACACACACACCTCGCAGGGCAGATGCAGCTACAAGGCCCAGGATGGGCACGTGGGCTTCAAGACACACATGTGTGGGGGAGACACACACACGGATCCTGTGTGCACGCAGAGGCCACGAGTAAAACCAGCATCCACCCAGGGAGATGGGAGCCATCGATAGGGGGAGAATGAACAGCCAGACCAGATGCAGGGACAGCAGAGAGGGTGCGGGGAGGGCAGGGAGGAAGAGCAGGAACTTCCCGGGGGCACTGGGAGGCACTGAGGAAGGGCAGTCCTGCTGACTCTACCTCTCCCAGGGAAGCGTGGAAATCCAGCCCAGGCCCCACACCCCAAGAGCATTAAAGGGAATAAGAAGTTGACTTTGAGGAATTTTTCCTGGCTGGGACACAAGGGACAGGCTGATGCCTGGATGTGGAGTGTGACATGGACAGGGCTGGAGACTGACTCCAGGCGTGTTCCTGGGGCTGAGCAGCAGGCCCACCCTTATGCTCAAGAAGTCTGAGGGTCTACAGGTGCTCCACACCCCTCCAGGTGGGTTTTCTGGGATCTTGGCTTCCCACATCCTATGCCTAGAACACAGCCAAGCTCACTCACCTCCCCCCTGCCCTGATCTTTTCTCCAGCCAGAGCGGACAGATTCCAGGGGGCTGGTGCCACAGGGGCTGCACCTGTTCACTGGGTATTTTTAGGACAGTTATGAACACATAATTCCTACCCTATAGTCAGGGAAAGACAATGCCTGCTATGTTAATCCTGTGGCTATTATAGTCGGCCATCTCATGGGCCCGGATCCCAGGCCAAGGCAGGGCACGCAGGACATTGACCCCTCTTGGAAGTCAGTGAGAGCCCTCACAGCCGCGAGGTTGGGGAGCTCTAGCCATGCTCCCAGTTTGGAGAGGAGAGTTGGTGGACTGGGACGTCCTTAGGAGCCCCAGTGCTCACAGAGGGGTGAAGGCCTCGCCCCCAGCACTGACATTCTGCAGCTAACGGGTTGCTCGATTCTGTTCTGGTCAGGTCAACTTTGGGACGCCTCCGTGCTGGAAGGCTGCTAGGGAAAAAGGCCAGGGTCTGGGGAGTTGGGGGGTTCAGGAATGTAGGATTCCGGGTGGAGGGGCTGTGCTGGCCAGCAGAGAAAGGCACCAGAAAGAGCAGCTGGGATCAGGGGATGAACTTGGGAGGGCCGGGGAGGAGCCGCAGGAGTGTGCTGCCTCGGCTCAATCTGTTTATAATTATGCAATAACTCTTACAAGACTCTCAAGCACAAACAGAAAATATCTGCATGAGTGACCCTGCTTTTTGAGAAGGAAACACAAGAGGACAGAGTGACAAACAGAAGAATAAAGGTGGGGTGGAGGCAACTGCAGCCCTGCT